CTGTTGTCCTGTGCTAATTTCATGTAATTGCCTTTTTTAAAATATTTCTTAGTTATACATGGACGCGATATCTTTATTTTGTTTTTTTACTTTTATTTGGTGCTAAGGATCGAACCCAGTACCTCACACATGGGAGGCAAATGCTCTAGCATTGAACTACACCCCAGCTGCCTGTAATTGCCTTTTATATTTCTGGGTTTAAGTTACTTTTTAAATGTCGATCATTATCACTTATGGGTATTGCACCCTCATCTTACAAAATATGGTTTCTCAATAACATTTTGCATATCCATTTTTATAGGAGCAAATGATATGTCAATCATCTTTTTCTTTTGCTTGTGTTGATATTAATTAGTTATCTACGAACCTGAGAAAAACTGATATCATGTTAAGAAATGCAGTATACCTTGGATAACTGGATTGCTGAGACCTGGCTCAACCCTATTCTGGAGGTAGTACAATAGTAACAATCTACAGAAATTTTCCTGTGCCTGTCTTTTTATTGGAGACTATAAGCCACCTAAGGAGGGCTCGCAAGGCCCACTGATGCAGAACACCAAGTTGTATCCCCTGGCCCATGAGGCACTCCTCCTGGGTGACATCACCCCAATGGCTTAGTCTGACCTGAGCAAAACAGGACCTGAAGTTGTTACGCATCATAGACGCAGGCCATTTCAGTCACTGGTGGGGAAGTGACAAGAGCAAGAAAATACAAACACAGCATTTTACTTATGTTTCTGAGGGAATTAAAAAAAGATCCCAAAACTACTTAGCAGTGTGATTACCCAGTACATTTAGAAATAAATATTCTGGGACACTTAAAAATCAACTTGCAGACATACAGAACAGTAACTGTGCTGTAACTGTTTAGCACAATTACCTCACAGGTAACTCTGAATCTAATGGGGATACAAGGAGAACCCTCAGAGATGATTTCTTTCATCCCTGAACTCTTATCAGGCTTCCCCAAAAATGCACAGATAATTTGAAAGGGATTGGTGTGGAGAAGAGAAAACACTATAGTCTCCCCAAGATTAAATGTGGAATCCAGTGTAAATGCCACCCAAGTTAAGCCAGCAGCAGCAGCCCAGTGGGGTCATATGTCAGTCAGAAAACCAAAGGGAAAGTATTGTGAATGTTGGTCTTATTTTGAGAGAGGGTCTCGATAAGTTGCTGCAAGACTGGCCTCAAATTTGTAATCCTCCTTCCTCAGCCTCCCACACTGCTGGGATTACAGGTATGTGCCACAATACCCAGCGTAACACAGATGTTTTAAAATTATATTACAAAATATTAGGCCAAGCATGGTGGCACACACCTATAATCCCAGTGGCTGGGTAGGCTGAGGCAGGAGGATCGTCAGTTCAAACCCAGCCTCAGCAATGGCAAGGCGCTAAGCAATTCAGTGAGACCCTGTCACTAGATAAAATACAAAATAGGAGTGGGGATATGGCTCAGTGATCAAGTGCCCCTGAGTTCAATCCCTGGTACCAAAAAAATAGAGGCATGACTTCAATTTGATAAACTAAAACCTGGGGAAATTGAATTTAGGGGCGCTTCTCCCTAGTTATGTGTCTCACCAGTAACAGATGCTAGAGAACAACTCCCTTGCTTAAGAGCTCCTGTCCTAGAAAGTTTGGTTATTGTTCTTTGATGTAAAAATGGTACCAAAAACTAGTGTCACCTAAACCAATCAGCAGTGTATTCTTATAGCTCAACTGTTTTCACACCACAAATCCAGGAACAGTTTCTAGTGACCTTAGCAGGCAGAAGTAATTCCATTTTAAGCAACATGCAGTGATTTGCGTGATCTATGCTTTTTGTGGATGTGGGTTGTTTGGGGTGAGGGGATTGCACTGGGTTGTTTTTTGGTTTCCTGTGCTTTGGGGGGCTTGGTAAGTGGGTAGTCCTGCTACAGAGGTAGGAGGGATGCGTATCAATGTATGCAGCGCATGAACCACTTACACAAATGCTCTAGCTGTATGTACCTTCAATTCAAAATAGATGACTAAGACAGTTGAAAACAATGCAGCCTCCCAAGTGCTAACAAGAAAGGATAATTTAAAACCTGTACTGGTGTGCTAAAATCAAGACTTAGACAGTCTCTGTTCCTAATGCCTATGCGACATGGTGCCCCAGAGGGACTGGCTTTTCAGCAGGACCCCTGTCACTCTAATAGTGTCCCCTCTAATGGGCTCTCAAAGAGCATCTATTGATATGAAACAGAAACGTCGAATGCCTACAGGACAAAGCATTTGGAAAAGGAGGATGCTTTGCACATGACTGGCCTTTGTGTAAAAGGAGCTCCCAGCTGAGAGCAGCTAATGCCATCTTGGTTTCAGATAGGAAATGTGCCTCCGTCAGTTGCCATCCAGTGCTGCAGCACATTTACATGAAGTTCACAGAGGAAGAGGCTTTGTTAATGCTTCAGTCAGTACCTAAAAATGCCAGGTGCATCACAAGCGTTCAGTAAATGCTAGTCAGTTAAATTTTTAGTCCTTTATTTTTCTTTCACTTAATTATGACTGGCCGCTTTTTAACTAAACCTCTTCTCAAGAAGGATTCCCTGTCACATACATAAGTTGGGTCCATGGAATAATCTAGAACTGATTTCTGCTTTCGTAGAAGAGAGAGTGCAGGCCACGGACAGGACTGTCGTGTTCACAGTGGGATTCTGAAGGAGGGAAAGAGCAGCTCTTGCCCTGTGCCTTTTCTGAGTTCATGTCTGCCCCAGCTTCCTGGTGCTGACTGCTGGGGCACTTCATTCCCTCCAATCTGATGAAAGGCAAAAATCTCTGTTTGGGGCCAGTAGTAGTATGCTTGCCTGATGTGCAGGAGGCCCTCTGTTCCATCCCTAGTACTGCAAAAAAGTGGGGGAAATATTCAAATATGAAATGAAAGCTACATATCCTTGTGGTGCTTTGGTACTTTACTATTCCCAACTATCTGTTTGATCAAAGAAACTGAAATCAGAAGCAGTGATCCCAGAAGTCACAGTACAGAAATATTTTGCAAAAAATGGTAGTTATTTGAAGGATTTTTTTTTTTCTGTTTTTCGGGCTGGGGATGTAAACCAGGAACTGTGTGCCAAGCACATGTTTTCATGCTCTACCACTGAGCCACATCCCAGCCCAAGAGGATCACTTTTAAAATTTTAACAACTATATCTTAAATGTAAGTAAAAATTTGTTCTGCCTCATCAACCCAAGTTTAAAATACTCCCTGTACATTATTAACAAAAGGGATAGCAAATTTACTCTAGCAGTAAACACTGAACAATGGAGATTATGTGTATTTTAATATTACAATATAAATATATTAATATTTATATTAAATAATATAAATTATTGTTTATAATTGTTTTTTGTCTACTGAAAATACTTGGTTTGCGCCAAAATTGTCTGTTACATCTCACTGCATAGCACTTCCTAGAACCTTGGATGGTGATGTTGTGCTCACCCTGAAGTGCATGTAGGTTTGCATTGTGTGTGTATTAAGACAGAAAAAAATGTATTCTTGATTTTTGAGTACACAAGTGCTTTTATATTTATGTCTAACATTTGGCTACATGAAGCTTATAAATCATTTACCTTCTACTTAAAAATACTCTGTAGACTTTGCTGCTGCTTTTAACAGAAATTAAAAACATTCCATAAAAACCAGTTGGCTATAATTACCATAGTCCCAATATTTATTAAGGTTTTTATTTTTTATTTTTTTTTTAGTTATAGGTAGACATAATACCTTTATTTGTTTGTTTATTTATTTATTTATTTTTATGTGGTGCTAAGGATCGAACCCAGTGCCTCACATGTGGTAGGCAAGCTCTTTACCACTGAGCCACGACTCCAGCCCAATATTTATTAGTTTTTACTTGTTTAAGTTATTTGACCAGATGATGGTGCACTCCTGTAATCCCAGTGGCTCAGGAGGCTGAGGCTAGAGGATCTCAAGTTCAAAGCCAGCCTCAGCAATTTAGCGAGGCCCTAAGCAACTCAGGGAGACCCTGTCTCTAAATAAAATATTAAAAAGGGCTGGAACCCACTTGAATCAAATTGTGAAATATGATATATCAAGAACTATGTAATGTTTTGAACAGCCAACAATAAAAAATTTAAAAAAAAAATAATAAAATAAAATAAAAAGGGCTGGAGACGTGGCTCTGTGGTTAAGCACCCCTGGGTTCATTCCCTGGTACAAAAAGGGGGAAAAAAATCTTATTTGTAATGTTGGCCTTTTAAAGAGTTGGAAATATAAGACTGACAAATTCTAGGTGAATTTTCCATTTAGTTACAGTGAATCAGTATATTTTTAGCTGATTGGTCTTTAGCAATGCCCACATTTTTTAGTTTCCCAGAGCATCCATAATTTTTATCAGTTACATTAATTTTCTTGATTTAATTCTGTTCCTGCAATTTGTAAAACTTTTCCCCAATATGCATTATTTTCTGTATAATTATAGGCAACATTACTGTTAGCAGTTGCCGGTAATCAGGAATGGCTTCCATGTTATTGGTAACAATTTGCATAATCTATTGCTCATCCTAGAGCTTGTAATTTAAAATGATTTGTAGATTGCATGTCCTTTTGTTATCAGTATTATTGCATGTTATCAGAATAATGAATATCAAGGGAACTGATTCCTTTTGCCTTTAGTAAGAAAATTAATAAATTTTATCGTTGAGATAGTAGTACTCCCATTGAGACCAAATCATTTAAAATTTGCTTTAACTGTTTTTATTTTATACCCTAAGCTTTCTCTTGCATGCAAAGTCTGGTGTTGTTTTCTAGTCTTCAATTACTATTTGGAATCTGATCATCTCTCTTGCTGAGATAACCTACTCTGTGAAAATTACAACTGGTAGGAGCTGTCAGCAGTGTGACATGAACTGTGGCAGGTGCAGAATCATGAGCATTGAGTTGATTTTGGAAATTGGATGGCAGTTTTACTTTTTCTTTCTGTTTCACTCCTATTATGTCCTCTCTGGCACCCTTTTCAGTTTCCTCAGGCTGGGGAGAAATGCCCAGTGCTCACGCAAAGGCTGAAAACTCATGGGGGGAGCCATCCCCCCCTTCCACCCTGGTGGACAACGGCACAGCCGCATGGGGGAAGCCACCCAGCAGTGGCAGCGGGTGGGGTGATCACCCTGCTGAGTCAACGGGGACATTCGGAAGAGCCAGTGCTCCCACTGCCACCCCAGCCCTGTGCAAGCCAGGTGAGCCAAGCACTCTGCATGCCCTGATCTAGGGATGTAAAAATGGTTCAAAGCATTCTATGTAGACAGATGCTTTTCACTGGATTTGAAAACACTTTCCTTTTTTAAGCTGTCACACTTGTTCATTTATTTTTTGGTGCTTGGGATTGAATCTCAAGCCTTGCACATGCTGCACACACACACTACCACTTAGCCCCAGACCAAACTGAATTTTAAAAATTAAAGTATTAGGAGACAGTATACCTCAATCTATTTATACTTTAAGACTAACTTTAACCAAGACTATAAAGAAATATTTACCACATCTAACACATGAACATAAATGAATTTTTAACAGAAGTCCCATCCTCTCCTCCTTTTAAAAATAAATATAGGGGCTGCAGTTATGGCTGAATGTCAGAGCACTTGCCTAGCATGCGTGAGGCACTGGGTTCAATCCTCAGCACCACATAAGAAAATAAATAAAACAAAAGCATTCTGTCCATCTACAGCTATAAAAAAAAATTTTTTAAATTAAATACAAAAAAAATTAAAGCAATCAAACATACTAAACATATACTGCATGTTGAGCACCCTCAATCTGAAAATTCAAAGTGTTCTAAAACTTGGAAATCCTTGAGCCTCAATGTGGCCACATGGTAAAAATAATTCCACCCTGACCTCATATGCTAGGTTCCACAGGTGCATAGAAAATAAATAATACAGAGTCACCTGCAGGCCACATGCACAGGTGGATGGGAACACTGAGTTACTAGAGTCACCTGCAGGTTGTATGAATAAGGTGTATATGAAACAAATGAATTTTGAGTTTAGACATGAGTCCTGTCCCCATGTCTCATTTATGTACATGTAAATAATTCAAATCCAAAAATGATCTGAAATACTTCTGTTCCCCAGCATTTCAGTGAGGGTTCCAACTGCAGTTCTCACTCTTCCTTTGCAGTATTTGTGCCTGCTGATTAAACTTATTCATCAAAGAAGACAAATAGAGCAGACGGTTTTTTTTTTCTTGAGATGAGTCTTAAAAACACATATTCATAGTGGTCTGAAACTTCTTGCTTTATCTTCATCTTATAAACAAAATTTCACTTTGGGTCTTTCTGTTCATACTTAAAACAACTTGAAAAAATATGGGACTGGGGTATGGCTCAGAGGTAGAGCGCTTGCCCGGCATGGGTGAGGCCCGGGGTTTCCTAAGTATAAGATGGCTGATTTAAGTCTGATGTGAAAATTAATTGTTCAGGCCAGCACAATGGTGCTTGGGAGGCTAAAGCAAGAAGATCTCAAGTTTGAGGCCAGCCTCAACTTGAATTGTGTCTCAAAATGAAAAAGGGCAGGAGACATAGCTCAGTAGTACAGCACCCCTGCTTCCGTCCTCAATACCAGGGGGGAAATTGTTTACATGGCTGCAGAAAGCATCTTATTTTCTTTGTATGTCGTTAGATGTCCTAGACCTTAAAATATAACTCCATTTGATTTTGTGTTTTATTGACAGTGGATGGTATGTTCCAGATATCCACCAGTTGTGCTAGAAGTATTTAGTCCATTTCTGTTGCTTTTGGTTACAAAGCTAAAGGATAAGGGAACTTCTGGGTGTTTAAATTCACATGCCATTTTGAAGCAGTGTATTTTGTTTTTAGAACTTGTCCATGAGGTCAAGTTATGTGCCTGTCTACCTCGTAGATGTCAAATTTTCATCATCTTAAAGACCTTGGGTATCCACAGTCACCTAGTTTGGCCTTTTTTAGTTCTTCCAAGAACGAAAATGGGGATGCTTTGACACCAAAAATCACTTTCTATTTTTAAAAAGAGGAAAAAGTAACATCCTGAAATATTGAGCTTCTTCCCCAGCGCTAGGCTTCTGTGCTGGAGCTGTGGGCATCTCCTGGGGAGCTTGTCAGAAATACAGATAGATACCCTAGGCCAGCAGCCTCTCATGTGATCCCCACTGACTGCCACTGTGGTGAGGATTGAGAAGCACTGGCCGCGTGGCGTATTGCCCACTGGCTTAGATCAAGTGACAGCAGAGCCATGTGGGGGCAAAGACACTTTCAGGAGGCCTCATTCAGAGCAGCCTTTTCAGAGTACAGACATTGCCACCCACTCCTTAGGGCTGCAGGGTTCCTTTCACACTGTTTCACAGTGGTAGTGTAGTTGGTTAAGGAAGTTTGGAACAGCATGGATTGCAGATACCTGGAGTGCAGAGGAGGAAACACAAGTGTATCTGCATCATCCATGATGGGAGGAGAAAGCCCCTTCTTAGGTACCAGGGAAAGGAAATGTGAGAAGGTGGATCATACTGTACCCACTTTTCTCCGCCTCCCCGGATTTCATTAGAGCAAAACTCCACATGCCTTAGGGAGAGAATTTGATATTTCCTGTTTGCTCTCCTTCCAGCTTCCAAATCTATGCAAGAAGGCTGGGGCAGTGGTGGGGATGAAGTGAACCTGGGCCCCAGCCAGTGGGAGGACGAGGAAGGGGACCTGTGGAACAATGCTGCTTCCCAAGAAAGCACTTCCTCCTGCAGCTCCTGGGGCAATGCCCCCAAAAAGGGACTTCAAAAGGTAGGTGCAGTGCTTCTACAGAAGAGAACTAGCAGTTTTGGAGGTTCTGATCAGTGAGCCTTATTGCCTTGGGCCTGTGGTGAGGCAGCACATCATAGTGAAAGCTATGGTGGAACCAAGCTGCACACCTCCTGGCCAGAAAGTCAGAGGAGGAGGAAGGGGTCAGGGAGGAAGGCACAGCCCAGCCCCAAACCCAAAAACCTCCCTCTAGGCCCTACCTCCCAGTAATGCCACTCTGGGGAGCAGCCTTCAACACTTGGGCCTGTAGGGGACACAAGTGGAACTGTCAGGAAGAGCACATACAGAAATGTAAGAGCCCAGTTGTTCCTTAAGCCAGACCTCTAGAGTCACAGAGGGGCAACACAGTGCAGGTTCATCTCACTGGAAATGTGTTTTAGGAATGTAATTAAATTTTTTTAAAATAATGTTACTCATAGCTAGGCACCATGTGCATGGCCATAATCTCAGCAACTCAGCAGGCAGAGGCAGGAGGATGCAAGTCTGAAGCCAGTCTGAGCGATTTAATGAACCCTGTCTCAAAATTAAAAAAAAAAAAAAATTTAAGGTTGGGGATGTAGCTCAGTGGTAGAGCACCTCTGAGTTCAACCTCCAGTACCCCCCCCCAAAAAAAATTATGTTAATATGTAATGCTTCTGTTATTATTATTGCTGTTTTTGAATAAAACTAATAAATATTTTTTTTTTAATTTCTCAGCTTTAACTTCAAATACAGTAAATGTTGACAAACACAACGTCTATAAACAAAAGTTCTTTGGGATGTTTAATCTTTAAGACAGTGTATAATGGGGTTCCCAAACTAAAAAGTTGGATAGCTGAAGTGTACCATTAACTAGTATTGAAATAAATGAGAAGCCATCTGGAAGATACTGAACCCCCAACTCACACCAAGATAAATTCCAATTACATCACAAATTTCAATATAAAAATATAAAATCATGATTGTTATAAAAACAATATTGCAGTTGGAGGGACATTTCTAACTATGACTAAAATCTTCAAGCCATAAAAGAATTTTAGATTTCAATAATAAACACAAAAACCATGCATAACAGAAAATAAGCTAATCAGAGACAAAGTGCAAATAACAGGCAGGGGAAAAAATTGTAACTCACATCACAGAACTGATCTCTTTGATACTTAACAAAGTCCTAGAAAATGGTTTTTAAAACAACCAGAGACCAGGACTGGAGTTGTGGCTCAGCAATAGCACACTTGCCTGGCATGTGTGAGGCACTGGGTTCGATTCTCAGCACCATGTATAAATAAATAAAGAAACTGTATCAACAACTAAAACAAAACATTTTTAAAAATAAATAAAACAACCAGAGACCAATAAAAAACAACAGACAAGGTGATCTTCAATTTCATAGCATAATAATCTCAGGTTTTATGCCTTTTTTTTTTTTGGCAAAAGAATATGTGAGCATCATATAAAACTTTAGTTTAAAAAAAGGAGTACTGATATTATTTTTAAAATATTTATTACTAAACTGTCTTTGATGCAATATTAGGGTGTTTTGAATACTGATGAATATACATTAGGGTTGACAACCCTACCAGGCACCATGGCCCCACGCCTACAGTCCCAGGGGTTTGGGAGGCTGAGGCAGGAGGATCATGAATTCAAGCCAGCCGCAGCAACTTAGCAAGGCCCTGAGCAATTTAGTGAGACCCTGTCTATATATCAAAAAAATTAAAAGGGCTGGGGATATGGTTCAGTGGTTAAGTACCCCTGAGTTCAATCCCTGCTACCAAAAAAAAAAAAACTTGAACAGCCCAAATCATCACACTTCATTTCTTCATGAGTTTAATGAACATTTTTCCAGTCTGAAAAAAAAGTTAACACATGAGTTACTATTGATTATAGTCAAAATTTTAAATTTAAGAAAGTTTACTACAGGGTTGCAAAGTATGGATTTACAAAGTTGAATCCATGCAGATTCTGTTCCACTATCATTGGTTTCGTTTTCTGACATCATCCTCAGTGCCACACTGTCAGCATCCTATTCTCAAAGCTGTGAAAATATCAGTACTCTAGTTTGCTGGCAAAAATATAAATCAATATAACTCAAAAAGAAGGCAGCGTGATGTTATCTGTCAAAATGATGGACATTAGCACTTGACACAGCACCTCCACTTGTTATGGTACAGCCATATGAGTATGACATGTGTTCTTCTATTGCAACTTTTTTGTAGTAAGAAAACGAAAAGACATACAGTAACCAGTTGAATTATGTCCCATTAATAGCATGGGAAACTAAACTTTTTTTTTTTTTTTTTTGTACCAGGAGTAGAACCCAGGGGTGCTTACCACTGAGCCAACATCCTCACCCTTTTTTTATTTTTTATTTTGAGCCAGGGTCTCACTAAGTTGCTGAGACTGGACTTGATCTTGAGATCCTCCTGCCTCAGCCTCCAGAATTGGGGGGATTACAGGCATGCACCACCAGGTCTGGTGTGAAACTGCACATTTTTAAAGAAAAAATCTGTAAATATGTTATGGTTTAGGTATGTTGATATGAAGAGTTCAGCAAAATACATTGTTCAGTAAAAAAGGTAAGGTATGAAAAAGATGAATAGTACACTTACAGTTTTGTAAGGGAGAGTCACATGTATGTACACATACTGGGTTCTGTAGAATGTTCTAATTCCTTGTAAATCATGTGAATGTATTACTGTAAAGAAAATTTACTTTAGAAGAACATTTTAGAAAAACATAGCAGTAAGCAGAACCCAGCAACTAAAACCAGGCCCCGTTTACCAGCAGTAGAAGTAAGTGATTGCAGACATCAAAAAGAAGTCTCTTTATGGTTGAGCTGCCAGATAAACAGTTATAATGGGACCTGAAATAACCAAATTGGTTAATTAACATATAGTCTTGTTGGGCCTTTTGGTGCATGCCTGTAATCCCAGCAGCTTGGGATGCTGAGGCAAGAGGACTGCAAGTTCAAGTCCAGCCTCAGCAACTTTGGTGAGGCCCTAAGCAACCCAGCAAGACTCTAGATAAAACAAAAAGGGATGGGGATGTGGCTCAGTGGGTTAAGCACCCCCTGGGTTCAATCCCTGGTACCAAAAAAATAAAAATAAAACATATTCTGGTTTGATGTGGCTTCAGCAACATGGTAATTGTGGAAACAGCCCCAGATGAACTGCTTGCTGGAAGGCATAAGCCCGCTCCACATGCTCTACCACAGTTATAGCAGGCTCCTGTTCCAGAACACACAGTGAGGTATATTCTTAGAGGGGGCATTTTTTGTTTGTTCATTTTTTGAGAATGAGTCTCACTGTGTCACCCAGTTGTTTCTGATTTATCAGTAGAGCCTTTGTCAGTGCAGACTCAGAGGGAAGTTACTCTCCAGGCTCTGGGCCTTCCTGCTGGGTTCTCTCTTCCTGTAGGTGACCTGTTCCCCTTTTCTTATTCTCTCTCTCTGACATTTTCCTTCTTCCTCCTTTCCTCTCACCTGAGGGTTACAAATGATGAATAGTTAATAAAATTAAAAGGATTGTTTTCTTCTTCTTGCCCTTTCATTCATTGCAACAAACCCCCTGTATTTTCCATTGAGAATAAAGTTTGTAAAAGGACAAAACCATGCAATTTGGAGCATTCCTTGTGATTATTTAATAATGAAAGTAGTACTCTTTAAGAGCTGGGCTGTAGCAAAGTGGCAAAGCTTGTGCCTAGCATGCGTGAGGCACTGGGTTCAATCCTCAGTACCACATAAAAATTAACAAGTAAATAAAGGCATTCTGTCCATCTACAACTATAAAAAAAAATTAAAAAGAAAGAAAGAAAGTGGTATGCTCTTGTGACAAGCCAAATTGATTCCCTAGGAGGGGGAAATAATCACCCTGGTTTTTGTAAGTCCATAAGTTACACATATTAACCAACCTGGTGCTGCACCCTGCAGTTCTCTGTAGTATTTGTCACAAGTACTGTCAGGGACCTCATGGAGTACAACACAATTTAACACTAACAAAAAGGTCCTTGGGGGCTGGGGCTGTAGCTCAGAAGTAGAGCACTTGCCTAGCAAGTGTGAGGCACTGGGTTCAATCCTCTGCACCACACAAAGAATAAGTAAATAAAATAAAGGTATTGTGTCCAGGGCTGGGGATATATAGCTCACTTGGTAGAGTACTTGCCTTGCATGCACAAGGCCCTGGGTTCAGTCCCCAGCACAAAAAAAAAAAAATGGCATTGTGTCCATCTACAAATAAGTATATTAAAAAAAAAAAAAAAAAAGATCCTGTGACTTCTAAATTATCAAGAGATTCAGCTGCCTCCTGTTTCTAGGAGAAATGCAACTCTTGGCCCTTCACCTTGCCTGCACTTCATTCCAGGGCATGAAGACATCTGGCAAGCAGGATGAGGCCTGGATCATGAGTCGGCTGATCAAACAACTCACAGACATGGGCTTCCCAGTGAGTGGTCTCCGGTTACTACTCCCCCATATTTGCCCAAGTGAACAGCTGTAATTGTTTCTTACACAAGGAAGGCTGTGAGGATGAGGTTACTGATGTCATTAGCTCGTAAATCCCCTTTGGTGGGCAGTTTAGGCTAGGTTTGAACTGCAGCAAAAGACCCACTCAGTTTCCATCAAGAAAGACATGAGAGGGGCTGGGGATGTGGCTCAAGTGGTAGCGCACTCGCCTGGCATGCGCCAGGCACTAGGTTCGATCCTCAGCACCACATAAAAATTTTAAAAATAAAGATATTTTGTCCACCTAAAATTTAAAAATAAATATTTTTAAATTTTTTTTAAAAAGACGAGCTTTTTCATAGAGTAGAAACTACATGATTTGTAGCTTCCATGGTTTATATAGTTTTTTTTTATTTTCTTATAATTTATAGTTAAAAGTGAATTATATTAGTTAATGTAATAGATTGAAGAAGATTACAAGAGAAAGCTTGGTATAAATACATACTAAAGCATCATATTTTAAAAAAAAGTCATTCTAACCAAGCCTGTATAATTCCTGAGTTTCTGATGATGTATAGGGAGAATTCAGATCTCAGTGTGTTCCCACTAGTAAGTGAAAACTTACCAGTTTGTTTATTTCCTAAGGGAAATGACAGGGATTCAGAGAGCCAGGGCTATCACTATGGTCGCTGTGTAGTCCCTTTGAATGTCTTCTTTCCAAATCCTTATTCAGATGAGTGTCTTCACTAGGTGACCTGTAGGGTGGTGCCTCAGGCCAGGCGTACCTGCATTGTGCAGGGCACTGCCCCTGTGGCCCAGCTGCTGAAGTCATCACAGCACCCTGGAGCTTCCGTTGTCCACTGGATCAGTCAGCTCCAATCAGAGGGATAACAACCAAGATAAACCTACTTGGTTTTTTTTTGGTTTTTTTTTTTTTTTGCTTGTTTGTTTGTTTGTTTGTTTCCTGTTTCTTGGAGGAAGTTTGGATGGCAGAGCCTAGAACTCATGGCATGGAAAAGAACCCCTAGGCTGACTGCAAGTGACTTTTAACAGTTGCCGGTTCTAGAGAGGCAGGTGGGACAGGGTCTTCCTGCATCAATGTCTGGCCCTGCTGTATCAGCCGGGTGGCATCCCTGCTGAATCATTACTATAGAGAAGACACTTGATGGAGAACTTAGAAGGCTGTCCTAGAACCCTGCATTATGTTCCTAAGATGTTAAATATAAGTTCTTCAAGATCCACAGTCATTTTTAATTATGGGTGCTTTCTGTTTAAAAGACGCCTGTAATCTCAGCAGTGGAGAAAAGCATTTCCAGGTCCAAACCCTAGCCATCACAGCACTCTCCACAATGGTGGTGACCACGCTGCTCCTAGCCCTCCCTCTGCTGCTATATGCTGCTGACAAGCACTCTGCTTCCTCTGCAGAGAGAGCCAGCCGAGGAGGCCCTGAAGAGCAACAGCATGAACCTGGACCAGGCCATGAGTAAGTGAGGGCGTCAGCAGCACTCACCAGAACCACCAGCAAGAAGCACAGAAATACAGAAAATGGGGCACTGAGTGGACCTCAGGAAGGAAGGACAGACTCATTGTACAGTATTATGACCTGGGTTTGACATGAGATTGATTGTTGGGTGATTCATGTTTCCTGCCAATCTGCACATTCCCACAAGTGACCACAAAGATGCCATAATTATTGTTTTGGGGGTTACAGACTTCAGTGAGTAGGCAGATTTTTCAGGTACAAAATCTGTGAAAAATAGTGGTAGATGGTGTGATCAGGTGGGGTTGAGATGTCAGAGCAGAGAAGCTTGGGCTAGTGGAAGCAGTGAGCACCAGCTTCTGAGACTTGTACAGTAATGCAAAGTTAAAGTGACCCAAACAAATGCCGGTCACTGGGCCAGAAGCTTCCAGGAATACAAAAGCAGTTTAGTTTTACAAGACGGCAGTAATGGGAACTGAGGCCACAAGGTGAGTAAGAGCCATTCTCATAGACAGTCAGGAAGGCCCTGACACTGGTGGTTTCAGGGGGGAAGCAAGCATGTGAAGCCTGGGCAGCCATGGGTACGCTCCTCCAAGGGGAGGCAGCAGGGGTGCCAAGCAGGCCCAGCACCTGAGGGCTATTGTGCCCCTGCTGCTTTCTGAAGGGCTCAGGGGTCTCTTCCCTGAGGCTGGAGCTAGCACCTGTCCTATGTCAACATCCATGACCACATTTGCTTTTCATGTTGTTCTGTATTTGTGCCCCAGGCGCTCTGCTGGAAAAGAAGGTGGACATGGACAAGCGTGGACTGGGAGTGACTGACTATAATGGGATGGTCACCAAACCCCTCGGCTGCCGCCCACCAATCTCCAAAGAGTCTTCCATGGACCGCCCCACCTTTCTTGACAAGGTAATAGATTTAGGCAGTTTTTAAATGAGAAATGTTTTCATTTAAACTGTGTCCTTAGTGCAAGTCAGATTAAATTTTTGCTAGACTTTGAACTTTTTTTCCCCTACTATATGAAAGTTTAACTCAGAGGCATAATATGTTTCACAAATGATGTTACTAGGAATGAAAAATGCTGGAATTGAAAACTGATCTTCATTGTTGCTGTGGGAACTTAGCTGGTTATCCACTTCAGTCTTTCCAGTACACAAGATCATCACATTTGTTTTACTGCCTAATTTCAAATATACAGTTCTTCCATTTGGAAATTATATGTGTAGCCTTGAAGAAAGGGAAGTGGCAGGGCTGAGCCCTGGCCAGCCACCCATGTCAGTGACACCCACAGCCCCCGTGGTGGGTTCCCTGCACATTCAAGTCCAGGTCAGCTCAGTCCTCTTAGTGTTATCATGGAGTGGTGTCCCCCTCCAGATTGGTGGACCTACAAAGCAGGGAAACACATGTTAGATTTGATCAGAATGATCCAACCCTGAATATAAAGTTGAAACAAGAAGGGATGTGCTTTAGAAAACATAGGAAGTCTCCCAGGAGGGCTCTTACCATCCTTGATAGGATTTTTCTCTCTGTTCTTAGAACCTCGACAATACACTCCACTTCAGAAAACTGGGCTGTGGAGTGAACCAGGAATGTATTAAACTAAAAAATGATTTGTTCACTTGAAATTCCAAATTAACACAGCATCCTGTACTTTTATTTGCTTAATCTGACAACCCTGAGAGTGGGACCATGACCTATTTGCTTATATTTAAAACAGAATAATATTGCAAATGGGTTGTGACATTGGATGAAATCAATTTGTTAAGGCCTTAGCACATAGTATGCCCACAATTAATATAAGGAAAAAACTATAATAGGATTGTATGTTTTATGACTTCCACTCATATTAGGTTAAACTTTATGAAATTTCTGAGTGCCAAGGTCAAAGCTGGTGAGTGTCAGAATCCAGCCCATGTATGCCTCAAGCCTTGCTCCTATCTTCTCAAAGAACCTGTTTGAAACTGGCTGTACTGTGTTCTCCAGATCAGACTTGGCCAGCACTTCTGGCCCCTCCTCCTCACTCTCCCCAGTCAGGGGCAGCAGTGTCTGAAGGCAGTACTACTAGAAGCTAATGTATGTGTTTGTAGAATGTTTTCAATGAAAACGGCATCTTAATCCTGTTTCTCTTTTTCTTTCCCCTCTTCTTTCGCCCATGCTATCCATTCCCTCACTGTCCACACTCGCTCTTTTAACTCTCTCCATCCGTCCCCTTCCTCCTTCCTTGGGAAACTGTTCGGTGCTTTGTCTGCTGGTGGACGCTGCGCACAGCTCACCCTTTCTTTCTCCAATCAGGATGGCGGCCTCGTGGAAGAGCCCACGACTTCACCGTTTTTGCCTTCCCCAAGCCTGAAGCTCCCCCTTTCCAACAGTGCACTCCCCAATCAGGCCCTGGGTGGGATTGCCTCAGGGCTGGGCATGCAAAACTTGAACTCTTCCAGACAGGTAAGACTGGGGAGAAAGCTGACTGTGGTCTCTGTTCACCTGCCCCTTAGAAAGATGTGTTCCATGAAAACACTCTTATTTTCCATTAATACTTTTATTTTAAAATACAATCAAATATGGAAGAGTAGTTGAAAATACCATAAGAATTTCTCTCAGGTGTTTCAGGTAAAATCAGGAACTGAATAGGGGTTCCTGAAATTTAACAGTGCAACAGGAAATGTTTGTTTCTTTTACACTAAACCAAAACATACTTGAGTCTTCCCATGCCCTGGACACCAACTTCCTGCTAATTTAAATGCTGATGTGTTGCCAAGTAATACTGAGCTGGAAGAGAACCCAGGCACTCCCCTCCCATTAGAAGCAGAGGGGACCTGTCTCGCCAGGAGGTCCCCCAAGGGCCTGGGAGGCCTGATTGTTTGGTTCTCCATTTCTCCACCTTCCTGTGGATTCTCTGACTCGATGGTATTGAGACAAACAGCACTCTGATGGCTACAGGCCAGCCCTCCTGGCTGGTTTTGCAGGGGAAAACGCCCACACACACCTTTGCCCCTTTCTTGAAGTACATCTAGTGTTAGGGAGTCTGAGCAGGCCCTTTTGTGCCTGTGGTCTCCATGGGATTATCAACAGTGTCCTCTCCACTCAGAGATCCCAGTTGACCTTCAGTGCAATCCTGGCTCTTGGAGTTGCTAGCTTTGTCGAGTTTGGTAGGAATCTCCCTTCCAGATGTTCTGCTGTCAGGAGTCAGCAGCCCAGCAGCAGTGTGCACACAGGATGGGTCTTCTGCCCTGTGCCTCCCAGACTGCTCTTCCAAGAGAAGGCCAAGAGCATCTTGCTGCACCTCTTTGTTAGGTAGCTCATGACACAGTGTGGAAAATGCACCCCGGACAGACTTACTGGATTTGACACAGGTTAACTACCCAAATTTGCCAGTTGATTCAATTCCAAGGTTTTTTGAAATAATAGATATATTTCCCATTTGAAAATGTCACTCTTCCTCTGGGTCAGTAGTAATAACCAAACATTCTTGCCCTTTAACTCTGACCATAGATATAGCCTTCTGGAAATGGCTGCCTGAATGTGTGTCATTCAGACAGCCATGTCCACATCACTGTTTGCTGAAATACTCTGTTGTTATAGTTTCTGTAAGTTGACAGCCTTGTTGGGGACACTTTAAAATGCACCATCAGGCAGAGTGCAATGGCACGTGCCTGTCCCAGCCATTCAGAAGGCTGAGGTGGGAAGATCACAAGGCCAGCTTGGGCAACTTAGTGGGACCCTGTCTCAAATTTTTAAAAATACATAAAAAGGACCAGCAGTGTAGCTCAGAAGTAGAACACCCCTGGGTTTAGTCCCCAGTACTGCCAGAAAAGGGGCTGTTATCATACGGCTCCTGTGAGCTTAAAGCATCAGCTGCTTCTGTGGCTGACTGTCCACCCACTATCACCAGTACAGATAGTATTGGTCCTAGGTGTGGTGGAACAGGTTGGCAGTGTTGGGAAGCAGAAGCCACCTTGCATTTATAGGTGGGTAGCACACTATTTCACCCACCCGTGCAACTGCCTACCTCTGCTCCCTAAAGTCCATCCCGTCTCCCTGCAGATCCCGAGTGGCAATCTGGGTGTGTTTGGCAATAGCGGAGCAGCACAAGCCAGGACCATGCAGCAGCCGCCGCAGCCGCCAGTGCAGCCTCTTAACTCCTCCCAGCCCAGCCTCCGTGCTCAAGTGCCTCAGTTTCTATCCCCTCAGGTCAGACCCGGGCCAAGTGGGCGACATAGGCGGGTGCTTGGTGGGGACTTGGCCATATCCGAGACACTCTTTTAAAGTGAGAGCTGAGTTAATCGACATCAAAGAGGAGTCCTTGATGTTTTAAACCTGTAAATCTATCCTAACCTTCAGGAAGCTGCTTGGCCCTGCTGCCCCAGGAGTATCCCCAAAGCCTGCTACTCAGGCAGCTTCAGCCACCCAGCCTGCCACAGGTCAGAGCAGCTCTGAGGGAAGACAAGTCGGCACCCCACCAGTGGTGCAGTTTGTCCTGGGCTTGCCTTAGAGAGTTACTCTGATGAACCTGATGTTGGTCCTGGGTTGCTGGAAAGGGCAGGGCAGGCTGCTCTGTTGGCAGCTTGGGCTGTGGAGGAAATGACCCCTAACAACCCAGGACTGCCACACTGTGCTGAGAAGCTGAAGGCAGTCACAGAGAGCATGTGTAGAACATTCCATAATTTCAGGCTTTGGATAGAGTTTTTAATCACAATGTAACAGTCCTTACCCTCATAAGAATGTTTAGTAATTGATTGCTTTTTGTTGATAACACATCAGAGCTCTACTTGATATGTCAATTCTGGGGCAGAGGGAGGCTGTGCCCTCCCAGGAAGGAGCAAAGCATCCTGAGGTCCCTACCACCTGTGGCAGAGGGAAAACTGCTTTCTCCCCTGAGGCCTCTGTTACCAGGAAAATATTTGAGATTCCTGAAGAGTCTTGTGTTTAATCGGTTCCAAAAGGAAATGTACTAACCCATCAGTCTTCCATTATTTGTAAAATTTAAGTCTCAGTTGACTTTTTATTGCTATAACAAAATCCCTTATCCTGGATAAGTAATAAACGGCACGGGCTTGTTGCTCATAGTTTTGGAGGCTAGAAGTCCAAGATCAAGGCACTGGAGGATCTGGGGTTTGGTGAGTTCATGCGTCCTCACATGCAAGCAGGGGCAGTCACACTCCTTTGGGCCTCTTTGATGAGGGCTCTGATTCCACTCAGGGTTCAGCCCTCATGACTCAGTCACCTCCCAAGGGTCCCAACTCTTAATCTAAAATATCGAAGGGCAGTAGATTTCAACACTGGTATTTGGGAGTCACAAACATTCAGACCATGGCGTATAAGAAGACAGTATTGGTATACAGAAACGAGCAGGATGTGTGGGAATAAGCATTATTCTGAAATGGTTTGTGTCCAAGTTTGTGCACTCACGGAGATGGCTAGAACTTGGTAGAATGCTAGTTAAATGTGTTAGGATCAGGGTAAGCCTCCATACAGACAGGCCTCAAAAGATGTGTCTAAAACAACACAGGCATTCCTCTCTTTCATGACAGTGTAGACAGAAAAAGCTAAGAGCTTGTGGGGCAGCTCTGCCACAGCTACTTGCCGACCTCAGGAAGAAAACAAAAGAGGACAGGACAGCCCTTTGTGTGGATCGCCTAGAGGCTGCTGTATGCCACTTCCCAGTGCATGCTTCTGCCCACAGCCAGCACCACAGCCACACCCAGCCTGAGAACAGTTAGTGTTGTGCCCCACCCTGAGCAGAGGACGTGTCTCAAATATTACTCATTGCTGTGCTATCTTGTTTTCTCAATGAATTCCAATGTGATCTCCGTATTAGCTATACTGTTACATGCTATTTTTTTTCTTTAAATTGACTTGCCCTTTTTAACTTATTTAAAGAAAATTTCATGTTTATCATAAGTAGAAAAATCAATATTTTTCTAATAAATATTAGACAATTACGGGGGGGGGGTTGTTTGTTTGTTTAATTGTACATGGACACAATGCCTTGAATTTTATTTATGTTTTTATGTGGTGCTGAGGATCGAACCTTCTGCCTCACATGTGCTAGGCAAGCGCTCTACCACTGAACCATAGCCCCAGCTCATAGACAATTATTAAAGTAAAACATCCTCAACCATGTTACACCAAAATCATCTTGCATGCCTACCTGTGATATTAAGATCCATTTCACACTTTGGAAAACATTGAAATAGCCAGTGTTAGCCGTACTTTTTTCAGAGTAGTGAATTCCAGTTGAAGGGACTTCACTGAGCGGGAGGCAGGTGGGTATCCAGGTCAGTTCTGCAGAGAGCCACAGGAAGACTGGGGGCAGTGGTGTCCAGCCAGAGGCACATCTGCTCTGTAGCAGCAGTGGCAGCATTTGGAGTGTGCACACAGGGGAGGGGCTTGCTGAGCTCCTGGGGGTGCAGCTCGTGCAGGGGATAGGCCCAGGGGCCTGTGTGAGAGACACTTGCCCTTGCCTGCCATCTTTAAGGCTTTCACTTTGGCAGAACTCAATCACTGATAGGAATAACCGAGACCCACACATGGGAAGCTAATGAGTAACTGAAGTACTTAGGGAAAGAAATCTCTAAAGACTCTACCCCTTCCTTTCTTCCTCCCTCCTTATTCTCAGCATGTTAACTACTAATGTTAAAATGTCCATAGATGTTCTAATGGCCTTTGAAGTCCAACCCTGAAACAAATATAATTATCATTTAATAAATTTTGAGTCTCTGAAACACTCTGCAGACAAGTAAATGTTCTCACAGATGGTGCTGACAGTGTGTCTTATGTCAAACAGGTTCAAGCACAGCTTTTGCAGTTTGCAGCAAAAAACATTGGTCTCAACCCTGCACTATTAACCTCGCCAATTAACCCTCAGCATATGACGATGTTGAACCAGCTCCATCAGCTGCAGCTGGTGAGTTCATAGGTCGCCTAAGCAACACACACCACGGACAGCCGTGGTTGCTCTGACACTTCTCTTCCTAGTGTGATGTGTCATCAAGACTGTTTGTGAGTTATAAAGCTTTTCACTAAGGGTGTTTTTACGAAGTTTTGTAAGTGTTTTGGCCCCTTCGTGTTCAGGAGTCTCAGATCCAGTTAGGCCATCTCTCCTTTGAGCTTTTAGCTTCTCATCTGAGCCATAAAACACAAAAACTCATTTTGAGTGACTCTTTCCTCAATTCTCCCAAGAGTGGTTTGCACAGTACCCATTCTACAAACAGGTCAGAGTCGCTTCATCGTGGGTGCTAGATGCCTTGGAGCTAAAAACTTGATTCTCTCATAGACCTCCTCTGAGAGTGGCTGATGTGAGTTGGGGGCACACCAATAATCCCAGCTACTCAGGAACCTGAGGCGGGAGGGTCACAAGTTCAAGAACAAACTCAGCAACTTAGCAAGCTCCTATCTCAAAATAAAATTTAAAAAAGGACTGGGGGTATAGCTTAGTAGCAGAGCACCCCTAGGTTCAGTCCCCAGAACTGAAAAAAAAAAGAGAGAGAGAGAGTATGGCTGCTATGACCCAGTTATTCTTAAAAGTTTTATGATTTAATATGTCTTGAATTTTTTAATTTTTAAAGTTTTATTCCTTTTATCATAAAACACCATGTTGTTATATTGCCTAGGTGTGTACTAAATTGATGTACACTACAGGGCCTTGTCTGTTATTCCATTCTTTGATGTGTGGGCACCTGGTGTATTTAGAAGTCCTGGCTGGTGCCTTGTAGGAGTCAGGCAGCAGAACAGCGGGAGCATCAGGGGCCTCTAATGGATGGCGCCCCAGTGAGACTTTTGCTTATACAGGAGTCTGTGGGCCCTTGAGGCCCCCGCCTCAGTATTTTCAAGATGTAGGTTTTAAGCACATGTCTATGGAGTTTGGACATCTGGCTTTTCAGTCAGTAGCAGGGGAGGATGAGGCAACCGGGTGGAAGTGTCCTAGAGACACTGTGGGTGTTCTGACTTTGCTGAAAAGCACAGAGCTCAAGACACAGGGTAGGGTGGCCTCAGCCTGAGGCTCTTTCTTGGTCCACAATGGGGATTGGGGAGGCTAGCGGTACTGGGTTCGGGGCAATGCACTTGTGCAGTCCTATGGCTTTCAGTGCTGGCGGCAGCAGCGGAAGACCCTACCCTCAAGAAGGAGATGGTGTGCTGTGAGAACCAGACATACCTTATAAACATAGGGATTTAGAGCCGTTGCCATAGAGCAAGGACACGCAGCACTGGACAGTGCTGTGGGCCTGACATGCCAGAGTTGTTCCTTCACCTGGAGAGCTCCTCTGGCCCTAGGATGCAGAACATCAAGAAAATGCTACATTATGTTTAGTGTATTCTGTTCTCAAATTTTTTCCCAGGATTGGAGAAATAAAGTTCAGTGCTTCCTAATGTTCAGTTTTAGGGCCTCCATAGATCCACTTAAGTGAATCTATAATTAATGAGACATTTCTAAGAGCTTAATCTCTACTGTTATTTGGATCCTATTTTTTAAAATTAAGTTCTCTTGTCAAAAATATATCCCAAAATCCATGTTGTAAGAAAAAAAATCTAGCATTCCACCAGCATTTTGAAATAATCAGCTGAACACAGGGTCTGCACCAGCGTACTTAGAACCATGAGATCACCTTAGCCCATGCTGGCCCCAGGTATACTTGCCGAAAGGATTCACAGACCCATGTTTGGGGTTCTGTCCTGGCTTTAGTTCCCACAGCACTGTCTGAGGTAATCACATGGCCTCCAGGTGCTTAGGAGCTATTTAGTACCTATTCTTTGATTGGGGCAGCTTGTTTCTGTAATCTGGCCATTCTGGACCTTAGCCTCAACCATGATAAGAGTAAATTTATTTTTTATTTGCTCAATGTCAGGAAGTTGAACCATCTATTGATGGCTGTCTAATAACATTCTATCTTTTCTTTCTGTCAATAGGCATACCAACGTTTACAAATCCAGCAGCAGATGTTACAGGCCCAGCGTAATGTTTCCGGACCCATGAGACAACAGGAGCAGCAAGTAGGTGTCACCCAGCCTGACTTTTATCATTAGCCTTGATTGTCCCTGATAGAAGAAACAGTAACTGATGAATTATTAGGATTGTCCTTTATTTTTTTTTCCCCCCAGGTGAACCTCCCCTTTCAAAAGTCCTGGGACTGGCTAAGTTTGGGAGGGGGTTGACCCAGCCATTGAAGGCCTAGATGTGAAAACACTTGGAGTGTAGAAAAGCCATGCATATCACTTCACACTGGCTAACGTGTATGTGTCTCTTCCTGTCAGGTTGCGCGCACAATCACTAATCTGCAGCAGCAGATCCAACAGCACCAGCGCCAGCTGGCCCAGGCCCTGCTTGTGAAGCAGCCTCCGCCGCCGCCACCCCCGCCGCACCTGTCTCTGCACCCCTCTGCAGGCAAATCGGCCATGGACAACTTCCCCCCTCACCCCCAAGCTCCTGGCCTACCTGACCTGCAGACCAAAGAGCAGCAGTCTTCACCCAACACCTTTGCTCCTTACCCTCTCGGTGAGTCTCCTGTGGCCACCGCACTGCACTGCGGTGGGCGGCATGGCTGGCTGGTGCTGAACAGCATGCCAGGACTGCAGCCCCAGAAAGACCCCTAGAGCAGGCCTCCAGAGGCCTCTGCAGAGGAAGCAACACCAGCTGCCTCTGCAAAACAAAACACTGACCACAAGGTCTTTCAAAACCCCAGAGAAATTCCCATTTCCACTGTTGCGTCAGCACAACCTGTTCATTCCTAGTTTATTTTTCGTCTGCTGTTCTTTACCAGCCACTGTCCTCCAGCTCCAGCTGCAGGAAAGAGCTTACAGTGGTTCTGCCAGTAGTGTGTTCAGACTCACTAAAGCAGGCCCTGCTCACGGAGTAGCCGATGTCCCTGCAGCACCTCCAGTGCAGAATGGGAACTGACCCGCCAGAGCATGCCCAGCATGTAAAGCCCACAAATCTTCAGAGCCATGGTTCCCGCCCTCCAGGTCATACTGGCTGGCCAGGAAAGACATGCATCACGCAACCAAAGGCAGCAGAGGAGAGACGTCACCCAGAGCAAGGGGCTGCATTTCAGGCCTGTTTATTGCTGTCAAAATCTGCAGACATAGGACAAAGGAAATCAGTAGCTCAGAAAATATACCCTAAAGGATAAAGGCCAGTTGAGTGACAGAGAATTTGCTACCAACTGGTAACATCCCCTTGTAAGTGCTAGCACTTGTCTCTGAAAAAAGTGGCAAGTTCTAGTCATAGGAACACCTCCTGCTTCAAGCATAACAAACATGGTGTGTCTTTAACATGAAGCTGATAAGTGTTAGACTGGACTGTCTTGTCCTTTCATTCCTGTCCTGTCCATTAATGTGCCTGATGTCCAAGAAGTGGTGTCAACATTAGTGTTAATGCCTAACCTAGGAATTAGCTTCCTGGGTTTGAGTCCCAGCCCACCACCAGCTGGCCCACTGCTAACTGTGGCAACTTGTCTCACTGCTCTTTACCTGAGGTTTCCTATCTCTAAAGTGGAAATGTTTACCTCATAGGGTTTCTTTAAAGATCAAATGAGTTCATATGTGAAGTTCTCACACAGTCCATAGCCTGTGGCAAACACCATGTAGTACATTTGCTTCTCATGTAGGCTCTTTCTTCTGTTTTAGGAATGGTTGTTCTGGAAACTAATTCCATTCCACCTGTCATCCTCAAATGCTCTAAATCTAGCTTGTACTGTTCACCTATCCTCTTGACCTGCTTTGGAAAATAAAGTGTGCTCATCTCTGCTCTGAAAGATTTCTTTCTTAGTGTAATGAAAGAATTCATGCAGTAAATCTTCAAAATCTGATGAAATTATTTTGATAAAATGTTCTAATATTCACATTACAGTTTTGTAAATGCATTGAAAATGAATAACTAGTAAGATATAGGAAACTTCACCTTCCTACTGACTGTCAGCATCTCTGCAGCTGCACATACCAAAAGTCTCTTAGGAGCTAAGCTAGTGGTGCCAGGAGCCAGCAGCCCATACCTAGTCATGGGCTTCTGTCCACTTTCTGTCTGCATGTCCAGCCTCCCTGGCTATTCCATTTCTTCCCCATAGAGCCAAGCACCTAGACAAGAAGATGAGGCCTACATTCAGGAAGAAGTGGCTTTGGTACCCAGTGGCTTTCAGAGCTGTTGAGCAGAGAGTTGACTTTCACCTTGATGACTAAAGAAAAACCAAAGAGTAGGGTTTAAGTTTGAGCCTCAACTAGGCAGCATTTTGATGAATAAAGAGAAAGCCTCTACAAACAGAGGCCTTATAGAGGAGCTCTGGTGTTTTCCAGGGTCAGTTCATATTGGCCCAGGCCAGTTTATCTACTTGTGAAGGAAGAGTTAAGAGAGGGGTTGGGGCCAAATTGTGGGAATTGGATGCTCTGCTGGCCCTTGCCTTGTGGCCCCTCATCTGATAGATCTGTACAAATGGAAGTGAAAGCAAGGAAGTAGGCAGTCTCTAGGTAGTATCCAACTGCAGAAGTATTTTGTTAGGTCTACAAAGTGTGTATCTGTCTCTATCTTCTGTGTGTCCCCGCCCCCCTCTCTCTATCAATCACTAACATTTAAAAATTGAGAAATTGTCATTTGAGCACTATGGTGGATGCCTGAGATCCCAGTGACTCAGGAGGCTGAAGCAGAAGGATCACGAGTTCAAAGCCAGCTTCAGCAACTTAGTGAGACCCTGTCTCTAAATATAATATAAAAAGGACTAAGGATATGACTCAGTGATTAAGCACCCCTGGGTTCAATCCCTAGTACAAAAAGGAAGAAAAAAATGGGAAATTATCAAATAAAAATTATTCCTGGCATCTTTTAAAATTGCCTGGCCAAAGGAGCTGGGGATATAGCTCGGTTGGTAGAGTGTCTGCCTCACAAGCACAAGGCCCTGGGTTCAATCCCCAGCACCACCAAAAAAAAAAAAAAGCCAGTAAAATTAGCTGGCCCAGGGACAGTGATACACACCTATAATCCTGGTGACTCGGGCGGCTGAGGCAGGAGGATTGCAAGTTTTAGACAGCCTGAGCAACTTATTGAGACCCTGTCTCAAAAAGAAAAGGCTGGGACTATAGCTCAGTGGTAGAGCACCTCTGGCTTCAATCTCCAGTACAAAAAAAAAAAGTGGCCACACCGGTCAGGGTTCCACATGGCAGTATCTGGTTGCCCAGTAGCACCTGCTTTCACAGTTCAGAGCCTGTCTGTCCTGCTGTAGTCTCTCTTGCCCTCCTCACCTTCATTTGAATTGTCCATCTGGCTCCCGTAGGCATTTGAATTTGCAGCCCCTGATATAAAGTTAAGAACCAAAATGTTTGGCACCTTGCCTAATAATAGGGTTTCCTCACTGGGCACCACATGGTGTGTGGGTGGGTGGGTGTATATGGCATGCAGACTGTCACTGTTGAGTGATCCGTCATGCTGGGCTGCCCTGCCACAGGTGGCTCCCTTCCAGCCCACACATCTGGCCTACCCCTTAGTGGCATCCCTTTCAGGAATTCTTCACTTCAGCCTTTGTGTCATGGTCGTCCCCATCATCTTTGTCAACCTACGTAGTTCTGGACCTTGGCAGATCTCTAGGAGCATCAGCTCACCATTCCAGCTGGGATGGCAAATGGCAGCTCCCACTCACCCAGACAGTTCAGTTCCTGAAAAGCCATTTGATACACAACTCGCACTCTTTCAAGAATGCTTGTGTACCAGAAGTCCACTAAAGGTAGGTCTAGTTATTCAGACCAGCTTGTTCTGTAGGCAGAGGGTCATTTCAAAAAATGCCCTGAAATATGAAAGGATTTTCCTTCCTGTTTGGCTCACTGTTTTTGTGTTGGCTCTGACTGAGCAGCCTCAGGACCATGTTCAGCACTAAAACAAACAAAATGAGGAGAATTGTGGGATGTACTTAGTTGAAGATTGTTGGAATTTTCATTTTAATTGAGGAATAATATTGCTTAAAAAGAAAGAAAAGAAAAATGTTGTTTGGAAGAGAAGCATTTTTCACCAGCATTAACAGTGTGTTTCGCTATCAATGAAGCCTGGAGTGAAATCGGGCAGAGGAAGGGGAGGTAGCTCCTAATGGCATCTCTGTTTTCAGCTGGACTGAACCCAAACATGAATGTCAGCAGCATGGACATTACCAGTGGTTTGTCGGTGAAAGACCCATCTCAGTCCCAGTCACGCCTCCCTCAGTGGACACACCCGAACTCCATGGACAGCTTGTCCAGTGCTGCTTCTCCTTTGGATCAGAATCCTAGCAAGCACGGTACGTCGTGGCCAGCACACCCACAGAGGGGGTCACTCCTGGCTCATTCGTTGATTATCCCATCGTAGGGAATCTCATTCTGTACATTTCTACATACCCAATGCTGAAAATGGAGTAAAAGCATTCCATTCTTTTACAGAGTACATAAGATTTCAACTCGTTAAGGATCAAACTTATTGAAACTCAGTCGTCAGATCTTAGCTTCAAACCCAGAAATCACTGAAAATACCCCAGAGCCTGTATGCTTGCTTGTTTTTTTTTTAACATCTGCATTCCTAAATCACAAAAATGAGTCAATTCTTTCAATAAAATAATAAAACACAAAATCAAATACTTAGAAGGGAAAAAGAAGCAAAATGTTAATCATCAAAGGTAATCACACTGTTAAGCATTAAATATAAACTTCCTGGTGGCGTTAAACATGAAGGAAATTTAATATGTTCTCCACAACATCTGTGCACCTTCCTTGGCAAGAGGGAGCCCCGACACCTGTGGCTGGTTGGTTTAGTCTGTGTAAATTTAACACCTAGTTTGTTCTTCCATAATGAGCATGGCTGACTGCAGGAGGGAAAGACACAGATAACAGCAATTGTGGCAGCTAACCACAAAGGCTAAGATCGATCCTCAGCACCACATACAAACAAATAAAATAAAGATATCTTGTCCATCTACAACTTAAAAAAAAGAAAAAGATTTCCAGCATGGATGGAGGTATAGCTCCACCCCAGCACTGCAAGAAATAAATATTCACTAGGCCCAGAGGCACACATCTATGGTCCCAGCTACTCGGGAGATTGAGACAGAAGGATCTCTTGAGCCCAGGAGCTCAGGGCCAGCCTGGGAAACAGACTGACTTAAGAAAAAAAATGGTTCCCACTTGACTAAGTAAAATGGTTCTTTAAGAGTTTTGGTCCTACAATGACAAACTTTGGACTAACCAAAGAATCCTAGACAGACAAGGTCTGATGATTCACATTACTCTGACAAACCTGGAAGGGAAGGCTCTTTGGCAGCCCTTGCGTCTTGAGCAGAGAGTACTCACTGGGATCCTGTTTCTTTCTTCTGTAGGTGCTATCCCTGGAGGTCTAAGCATTGGGCCTCCAGGTAAGTCCTCCATTGACGACTCCTATGGCCGGTACGATTTAATCCAGAACAGTGAGTCACCAGCCAGTCCTCCTGTAGCTGTGCCCCATAGCTGGTCACGTGCCAAATCTGACAGTGATAAAATCTCAAATGGCTCCAGCATCAACTGGCCCCCAGGTAAGACCACACAACACCTACAGCAGCAGATCTGAACACTCCCTGAACCTAGGAGGAACAGGACCCAGGCCACATGTTCTGGAAGCTTCAAGCCCACCCCTTTGTCATTTCCATTGGGAATCCATTTGTCAGATCAGTGTGGGTATCAAGCCTTGTTCTGTGGCTCCCTAGTCCACTATCAGGAGTGGCAGTAAGGCAATGGGGGAAGGCACACTGGATACCATCTGGCAAGAACATACAGGCCTGGGATGTTGGCTGTAGTACCCGGTTCTGCTTTGTTCCAAAGGAGGGAGTGATTTCACGAAAGAGTCTGTAACACGTGCCTGAACTGAATGATCATATTATAAAAATTTCCACAATCAGGAAAATAATATTTTTAAATGTCAGGAAGCAATGCGAAGGTTCTCTAGCATGCAATTTCATTTGATTTCCACAAACAGAATTCCATCCTGGAGTTCCGTGGAAAGGACTTCAGAATATCGATCCCGAGAATGACCCTGACGTCACTCCTGGCAGTGTTCCCACCGGGCCTACAATCAACACCACCATCCAGGATGTCAACCGCTACCTCCTCAAGAGTGGAGGTGAGGAGGGCCCCTCAACCTGCCTTCAGCTGGGAAGGTCCAGCCTCCTTCAGGATGCCAGCAGGCAGTGTAAGCTGGGGGGCAAGTCGGCTGAGACCCAGCTGCTGGGCTACTTCTGTCACCTGTCAGCTGCAGCACAGGAAGACTGATTTGGGGGACATGGTTTTGCTTGATCTGTAGAGGTTGAGTGTCCTGCATCCAGAATGCTTGGGGCCTGAAGTGATTTAGATCTCAGAGCTTTTTGATTTGGGAATGCTTACAGAGACTTAGTAGTTGAGCTTACCCAGTCCAAAAATGCAAAGTCTACAGTGTGCCAACTACATGACACTGAAGTTTCCTTGAATTTCAGATGCTCGACCTGTATTTCATATTATAGCATTTTTTAAGGTTACATTATAGAATCACATTTAACCTTTAGCTGTTTAATGAAAAAGTTTCCACCTGAAAACTCTTTAAACTGAAAAGGATTTAGGAAGACCCTTTTCATCCATCTCAATCTGTTTTTCCTGGCACAAATCTCAGTGCCGATTTTTAGCCCACCCTCTGTCAGACTTCAGAGCAAGAAGTGCTGGGCTGAGCTGTGAACTCAGAAAACACACAAAGACTTGAGGTGCAGTTTTGAGGCTTTCTAAGGTGTGCCCTTAGAAAGGAGGCCTGAAGAGACATCTGAGAGCCATCACTGAGAAGGCGTCTCACAGAGTTCCCACAATGTTAAGTTAGGTTTCCACTTAAAGTAAGACCTGCTGGAGTGAGGTATTTGCTTTGTGTCAGAATAGAGGAGCCTGCGTGAGATGGCAGGGACAGCCTGAGTGGAAGTCACACCTGTGTGTGGCAGAGCAGGCAAAGCAAGCCCATGTGTCTTGACAGTTGTGCGTAAGTGTGATATGGGTTGTGCTGATCCAGGTATTAGAAGCTAAAAGAATCAAGGTTTCATGGTACACAGCAGAGCTTCCAGAGCAGGCACAGATGGAGCTACACATGACCCTTTGACCTCTGGGGGGCAGCAGGAGTGTTGCGAGTGCCATCCACCATCTGGCCCAGTTTTCTGTGATGTGGTAAAGGTGGCCTCAAGAGGCACCTGGCTTCTGGTCAGAGCCAAGCAACTGCCTCTGGTTCTATACCTACCTGATAAAAGAGAAAGACTTAAGAGTGGAAAGGAATCCAAGCTGAGAAGCACATTGGCCATGGAGACAAGACAAGAAGATGGAATCCAACTCTGGGATTAAACACATCAGCTGCCAGGGGCAGTGGCCACACTGTGATCCTGGAAACTCAGGAGACTGAAGCAGGGGGATCCCAAATTCAAAGCCAGCCTCTGCAACTTAGTGAGACAGTCTCAAAATAAAAAGTTAAAAGGACCAGGGAAGTGGCTCAGTGGTTAAATACCCTGGGTTAAATCCTCAGTACCTAAATAAATAAATAAAATTGGAGACCTGCAGAACGTAAATATGTTCTAATGGTTGTCAGCTCTGGTGAAGAGGTCCCCTACAGCAGGGCATGTAGGAGGTGCCACATACCTGGGGGCCCTGCCTCGGAGACTGTAGCTTTTAAGCCATCAGATTCTGTTTGTGGTGATGAAGGCAACAGTCCATCTGTGTCCAGGTCCCAAGTCCGAAGAGCCCTTTCCGCCCTTGCTTCCAGGCAGTGTTCTCTGCTCCACCTGCCCACCCCTCCCAGCTTTGTGAGTGAGAGTGACAGTGCACAAAGCCACATGGAGCTGAGCTCCATCCCAAGGAACCAGGTGTCTTGAGGGTGCAGGGAGGGACTTCCTCAGAGCAGAAAGTACTGCTCTGTGGGCACCATACTTGGAAAGGACGCAGTTACTGGGACAGTGTCTCCACTGTGCCTATGTCCCCAGAGGGAACTAGGAAGGGAGATAAAGGGTCAGAAAGTGCTCATGTTTTCATGTCAGAATTTGTAATGAAAAGCTTGGGGTCTGCGTTTCATTGTGGCTATGGTTTGAACCATGAAAGGGTGAGGATTGCCCTGCATTTAAATTGTTACTGTGCAGGGAACAGTCATGTGACCTTTTACAACTCTGACCTGACATTTTAAATATTCTGGTGGTGTATCTTCCTCCATGGCTTGATGTAACCTTACCTCAGAGCTCATGCTCTGTCTCCTCAGCCTTCAGGAGCACCCCACACAGGCCTTCCCACGGGCTACGGGACTGACTCAAAGGTATTCCTTATCTGCCTCCTGGCACCACACCTCCCTATCCAGGCCTTTGCCCAAACAGAAGCTCAGGAGGTGATCTGTATGCTGCCCCTCATCCCATCAGAGCTGCTGGCTGCACACCTGCCACCCCTTCTTAGTGCCATGTTTGGTTCTGCAGGGTCCTCCCCACCATCCTCTCAGAATGCCACACTGCCTTCCTCGAGTGCCTGGCCGCTCAGTGCCCCCGGCTACAGTGGCTCTTTGAGCAGCATTGCCTCCTCACCTAGTGCTGCAGGTATGAACTGGCCTCTCCACTTGCAGGTAGCATTTTCTTTCTTTCCCCAGACAAACTGACAGGCCTCAGCTGTTCCCATTGGTCCCTTTACTCTCCTCCTGAGTGCTGGAGCTGGTGTGAGCCTTGCCTTGCATGACTGCGGGACCTCAGGCACATCTGAGTCCTCACGTATGGAGTGGAAGTGGGGTTGTGAAGATCAGGTGATGTATAAGGCACCATTGCAGACCTAGCACAGCACCAGCCTGAGTGGATCTGCTTCCTTCTCTCCTCCCCCATGACTACAAGACAGAGAGTATGTGAGTCTTGAGAAACTCAGAGGCAGACAACAGCTGGGAATTACTTAAATTCCATGACAGGTGGAGGAGACTGGCAGGTCCTGGTGTTAAGCCCTGGTATTCGCAGAGGGCCTACCTCCTCCTGCCTGGATCCACCTGGTATCAACTAGACACAAAAACTGTGTGTCATATTTATAAATTATTTCATATCTCTGTATTCTATCAAATTTTTAAACCACTGTACTGTGTCCATATGAGAATAGCATTTAAGGTTTTTTTCAATAAGAATTTTTATAATTCCATTACCTTGGGGAAAAAACACTTTCAATGTAGTTTAGCATCTTATTAAAAGAAAAACAAAGCCGGGTACAATGGCACACACCTGTAATCCAAGCTTCTCAGGAGGCTAAGGCAGGGGGATCACAAGTTCCAGTCCAACCTAGGCAATTTAGCAAGGCCCTGTCTCAAAAAGGGCTGGGGAAGCCGGGTGCGGTGTTGCACACCTGTAATACCAGAGACTTGGGAGGCTGAGGCAGGAGGATCTCAAGTTCAGAGCCAGCCTCAGCAACAGCAAGGTGCTAAACAACTCAGTGAGACCCTGTCTCTAAATAAAATACAAAATAGGGCTGGGGATGTGGCTCAGTGATCAAGTGGCCCTGAGTTCAATCCCCAGTACCCCCCAAAAAGGGGGGTGGGGCTGGGATATGGCTCTGTGTGGAGTCCCTTGGGTTCAATCCCTGGTACCAAAAAAGAGGAGGGGTATATTTAGACTTTTAAAACCTCCATAGTCATTTGGCTAAAGAGAAGAGCAAAACCGTACACTTTCCTTATCTCTGAGTCAGTCTTACATAGCATTTCGTTTTTTGACATCTTTTCCATGGTTAGCATTTGTTCACTGTGAAGTCAGAGCCATCTTGGGTGCCAGGCTTGGAGAACCACACTTGTGCTATGAATACTGGACACAGTGGACACAGGAGCATGCAAACGTCCAGGACTCTGCTCATTCCAAAACAGTGTCTCCCCAACCAGCATGCCAGATGTGGCATCTTGGCCTCAGGGCAGCTGGACTGCTTCTGTTCCTATGGCAGGTGCACAAGGGGTGTCTCTAGAAGCTGTGGGAGATTGCAGTGGCAGCTGGGGAAGGTCACATGTCAGGAGCGTTGCCCTGACAGGGGACTGCTACCTAAAGAAATTATCATAAGGAAGAACGCATGGACATTGTGGCCTCTGACCGCACCTGATCTGTTGCATTACTACGTGTGTCCCGTTAGGCTTCCATGGCAAGTTATCCTCAACGCTGATTTCAGAAATGCTATTTTCTCTGTGGCAAATGTTGGCTATAGTGGCCGTGCAGACTGTGAGCAGAAATTGAGAGTAGCGCATTGCTAGGTGCAGTAACACATGCCTGTGGTCTAAGCTACTTGGGAGGCTGAGGCAGGAGGATCACTTGAGACCAGGAGCTCAAGACCAGCCTGGCCACATTACAAGACTCTGTCCAAAAAAGGAATTGGAAAAAAAACAGCGTGCTTCGGGCCTTGCTTCAGGATGTGGTATTGGTGTTTCTTTTCTTCCCCGTCTGCTGGTGTCACAGAGTGTGTGCCTGCTCCCCAAACCCAGCAAGTGCTTTTCCTCTCTGACTACAGAGTGAACATGCTCTGTTTCTTTGCCTTCTAGGTAAACTGTCAGACATTAAATCGACGTGGTCCTCTGGCGCAGCCTCCCACACGCAAGCCTCTCTGTCTCATGAGCTGTGGAAGGTGCCGAGAAACACTACTGCACCCACCAGGCCCCCTCCAGGGCTTGCCAATCCCAAGCCTTCCTCCACCTGGGGTGCCAGCCCCCTCGGCTGGACCAGCTCCTACTCCTCTGGTAAGTGCCTTTCTCTTCGCAGCTGCTTTGCTCCTTTCCTGGGGGCTGTACTTGTGGTTTTGTCCCCTCCCTTTTCAGGATCCCTGCATGCTCCCTGGAGACCGGTGGCTCTGGAGGGAGCTGAGGCTTCCCTGCACCTGTGGGCTTTGGTTGGCCTAGCCCAGCTTTCAGCCCCTGGGTTATGGTTCACTGCAGCTTTGCTTTGGGCCAGAAGGTCCCAGGTGGTCCCGACGCCGGTCCTCTGTCCTGCTATGCCACGTGCTGATCTCCCAGGGAGGCCCGTTTGGCCTTAGCTTCCCATTCCTATCAGCCCCCACCAACCAGCACCAGTGTCTTGATGTCTCCTTCTTGTGTTTGCTTCTCCACAAGACTTCATGGAACATAGGGGCTTTCCAGGCCAAAACAACCCAGCAGCTTGGAGAGCGCACTGGTGCTGTTGGGCTCTGGGGCTTCCTGCGGGTACCTCAGGCTAACCCTGAGGGATACGAGAAGGGTATGGGGGACTTCAGAAACTGAAGTTTAAATCAGCGACAGATAGTTTGAGAAAGACTGTTTCAGGCCTTTTAATAGTGGCCCTTAGCTAAGTGTGGTAATTCAGAACTGTAAGCCCAGTGACAGGGAGGCTGAGGAAGGAAGATAGCAAGTTAGAGGAACAGTCTGAGCAACTTGGACCCTGTCTCAAAAAATAAAAAGACTGGGAATGTAGCTCAGTGGTAAAGTACCCTTGGGTTCAAACCCCAGTGCCAAAAGAAAAATAATAATGGTAATAATAATCCTTGTGGATTTGCTTTTATTTTGTTAACATGCAGAATTTTAGCACATTGAATGTAAGTTGGGGGGTCAGGGAAGACCAGAACTTCCCAGGTGATTCTCACCTGTCCCGTCACATCCCATCACTCATGGCACAGGTGGGAATGTACAGGCCTCCGAGCTGGTGGGGACAGCCAGGAAGTGGGGATTTTCATAGACGCAGACAGGTGTCTGCAGGGATGGTGAGATTTGGATTGACCAGAAGATGCCCAGGGACTCCCTGGCTTGCAGGGCTTTAGGGGTTGCCATGTGTTCTAGATAAGGTTAGAAACCTGGAACAGGGCTGTGCCACCTGACTCTTCAGCCTGTCACTGAGATCTTGTGCCCTGGGCTTGTCACACAGGTTCTGCTTGGAGCACCGACACCTCAGGAAGAACAAGCAGCTGGCTTGTTCTTCGCAACCTCACACCCCAGGTAAGGCCCCAGCACAACAGGAGGGGTATCCTGCATACCCACAGGGACATAGAGCACAGTCACAGAAGTGCCACTTGGCCCTGGTGCAAGCAGTGTGTCAGAGACCCTCTCAGCCTAGGAGCACACAAGGCAAGTGGAGCCGGGCTCCAGCTCAAAGAGCAGATACAGGGCTGCTCTTAACCATGTGCTTGATTATTCATTCACCTTTAGGGGGCTCGAAAAGCATACCTTTGTAAACAGAACTCTTGTCTTCACCGCCAACTCAAGAGTGACTTGGCCAGCTCAGGCCTTGTGGCCAGCTAGTAGTCACCATTCCTGACCTGCACACACCTGCAAGGCCACAGGGCCATCAGGCCCTGGTGCCTTTTGTGAACCACAGACTGTGGGATGTGCCCTGGTGAGAGGGCAGCAAAACTCAGAATGGAATTTTTTTCCTTCCTCTGATTAGTTTAACTCATAAAATACAACTGAGGTGTCCAGTATTCCAGGTGTGCCAGAAGTAGCACATGTCAGCGTGTCAGTAAGCCTTTTCAAGGAAAGACACTTTCCTGGCATTTTAGTGCATCCATTCGCAGTGCCTTTGAAGAAGATAGTGGAAGTGCCCTGTGCTTCCTCCCCAGATTGATGGTTCTACACTGCGGACGCTGTGTCTGCAGCATGGGCCTCTCATCACATTCCATCTGAACCTGACTCAAGGCAACGCTGTGGTCCGCTACAGCTCCAAGGAGGAGGCGGCCAAGGCCCAGAAGTCTCTGCACATGTATGTTTCCCCTCATTCAGCCCTGTGCTGCCAGATGGCCTCAAGCCCCAAGCACCTGGGGGGCGTTATGTCCTGAGGCTGCCTCCACACCCCCCATGGGCCTGTGTGCCACAGGAGCTCGACCTCTCAGGTCCTGGGTCCTAGAAGCCTGAGATCAAGGTGTAACCAGGGTTGGCTCCTTCTGAGGCCTGTCTCTCCTTGGCCTGTAGACAGCCATCCTCTCTCTGTGTCCTCTGTGTGTGTCAATGTCTCGGTCTCCTCATAATAAGAGCCTCAGTCATGTTGGATGAGAGCCACCCACGGGACCTCAGTTAACTGAATCAACTCTCTGAAGACCTGTCTCTTTAATACAGACATTTAGAAGCAAGGGGCAGGACTTCAGTGTATGAATTTGGAGTAGGAACTCAGTTCAGTCCATCACAGGTGTGTTGTAATGAGTGGGTTTCTACTGATGGTTCTTGCTGGAAGTAGAAAAGGCTCCCCAAAGACCACGTCAGGTCCAACCACAGAAAGGAGGTACCCTCACACTGCTCAGAGGGCACTGTCAGCAGTCCTCACAGCCAGCCCCAATGCCTCCTTAAATTGTGCATTTGACAGTGTATAAGACCTACTCAGAAGCACCCCTTGAGATATGAGGCCTCGATATTAGTTCTTTTTTTCTTTTTTAATATTTATTTTTTAGTTGTAGTTGGACACAATACCTTTATTTTATGTATGTATGTATGTGTGTGTGTGTGTGTGTGTATTTATTTATCTATTTATATGTGGTGTCGGGGATAGAACCCAGGGCCTACACATGCTAGGCGAGCACTCCACTGCTGAGCCCCAGCCCCAGCCCCAGCCCTCGCCCTCTGTATTAGTTCTTCCTGGTCTTAGCCCAGTATGCAAGTGGCACTGATGCTGAGTGGCTCCAGTTTCATGGTATCACTCATGAATTTATACACCTGCCGTGCCCACCAGTTCATGGCTGCCAGAAGTCCAGGCAAGGGACAGTCTAGTTGAGAACTGGCAAAGCCCAGCCCCAGGATTGCACAGGCCCCAGGTTCACCTCTCCCCATGGCATAGCCCCAGCCTCTGGGAGCATACTCACCTGCCTGTTTCCCCTCTAGGTGCGTACTGGGAAACACTACCATCTTGGCGGAGTTCGCCAGTGAAGAGGAAGTGAACCGGTTCCTAGCCCAAGGCCAAGCCCTGCCACCCACGTCCAGCTGGCAGTCCAGCAGTGGGAGCAGCCAGCCCCGACTGGGCGCCTCAGGCAGCACCCATGGGCTGGTGCGCAGCGAGGCGGCCCACTGGAACACCCCCTGCCTGGGCGGCAAGGGGAGCAGCGAGCTTCTGTGGGGCGGGGTGCCCCAGTATTCCAGTAGCCTCTGGGGCCCGCCCAGCACCGAGGATGGCAGGGTGATCGGCAGCCCCACCCCACTGAACACACTGCTGCCTGGGGACCTGCTCAGCGGGGAGTCCATCTAGGGCCAGGGTCACCTGCACCAGGAGGAGAGCTGACCTTTCCAGTCCCGGGCACTGTGGCCCCAGGACCAGCAGCCCGCGGCCCTTTCGAGTACCTCTGTCCAGTTCCGAAGACGAACCTTCACCGCAGCCCTTGTGAACTGTTTCCAAAACAGTGCAGGCTGCGTTTGGTCAGTGTCACGTGCTAACGACAGGATGTTCCTCATAGCTTTTTATTTTGTGTCGTCTTACGTTTGTATGGTGTGTTGTCATTTTGAGTTTTTAAGTATAAAAGCTGCTTAGAATAGTTCTATCATGAAGGGCACTTTTCAGATTGTGGGCTGGAAAGGGTTATTTTATCACGGGGAGGGAGGGAGGGAGGGAGGGAGGGAGATGGAAGCCTATTAAGTGAGCCTGTGACGATTATGCACATTACCAGAGGCGGCGGGTGGGGCAGGGCAGGTCGGGCAAGGTGGCTGGCACTGAGCAGAGCGGCACCGTCGCCCTCTGCCCTCTGTTCCCCTGGATCCGCCTATGCACATTACCCTTGTTTCATTACTTTTTCATGTCATTTTTTTTTAATCCCAAAAAATATTTTTTAAAAGTTAAAAAAAAAGACATATCAAACATGCAAATACTTGAATCCAGCAGGCCAATAATGAAATGTGAACACTTTCTAAGTCTAATTCTACACTTCCAGGTTGACATCAGTACACAGAAACAGGCTCTAGGAAAAATTTATTAAGTTCATAGCCTATGTGTGCGAGTGTGCATGTGAAACAGTGTGGGGTGTGTGTGTGTGCACGTGTGCTCCTGCACAGTACGCACTTCGTGGGTGTGTGTGGGTGGGTGTGGGTGTGTGTGTGTGTGTAGAGTGCAAGGGATTTAACTGTGGGTTTTCCCTTTTATTCAGTATATGCTTTTATTTGGCGCATTGGTCAAACGTTTGTTATTATTAGCTTCTAACTTTGCACTGAGGTGTCCCTGCCCTTCCTTCAGCTAATCCTAAACAGTAAAGAGAATTCACAGGACAGGGCTGGCGACAATTCACGTGTAAATGTTTACTCAAGGACTCTGTTATTGCATCTAAAACTGCAGTGTATATCTCTGGAGAAATGATATGTATCTCTACCTTTAGCAGCTTTTTATTGTGGACTAATGCAAGAAGTCATTACCAGAGTATTGCACCATTTTCCATTTGGAATATAAGGTTAAAGAGAAAGAAGTGATGTTGAACTGTGGCCATAGATACTTGTAAAGAGCAACGGTTCCGCGGCAGCAGCGGGACAAGCACTTGGGCGTGGTTGAGACTGCTTTCAGCGGAGCCCGGGGTTTGGGCTCCCACCTGTTTACAGACCTTTTTTTCTCCTTCAGACTTTAAAATAAAAATTTTAAAAAGGAATTTAAAAAAAGAAAAAAGAAAAAAAAAAAAGACTTCGGTCGTAAAGAACCCTATTTTCAGAATGCAGACGCGCTACTTCAGAGCTCTGGGATTGGACAGTGCCGTCCCCCTTCGGCCGTCGTCGTGGACTCTGTCGACTGTCCTCGCCCCTTCGTCGAGGTGACGAGGCGCTGTGGTCACTGTCTTGCACATGCCGGACGCGCTCTCAGGAAAGCCAGGGCTCCCGAGGGCAGCTCCACACCATTTCATGTATTTTTAAACCCAACTCCTAGCACTGAAGATGTTATTAAAAAAAAAATGATAAAAATTTAAAAAAAGAAAGAAAAAAAGAAAAAAGAAAAAAACCACAAAGATGAAAAATACCTAATCTCTAATGTGTAGCAGTTACATATTTACCAAATAATGGACTCAAAAGAAATAGATGTTTGAAGAGTGCTTTATATATTAAAAATTGCTTTATGTTTTAAAAATGATCAATGTTTTGATTGTTTTGCAAGGAAGAAAGACAATGGAATAACATACCCTCCAGTATGTTTTTAAAAAGTCTATGGACATTGTGCTCCCTGCCTGCTCAATCAGGAAACCTGTGCATTACATTTTTTTTAATTAGCTTTTTAATGGTTTTATCAAAACAAAAAAACAAAATTAAAAAAAATAGAAAAAAAAAAAGTCCTGCAAGATTGCAGATCAACAAAAGCTGGTTTTACAGAGGATCATGAACTATGCACAACCTAGGTTCAGAACTTCCCTCAAGCTTAGTAGTGCATCTAGCTGACGACCCCTCCTCAGAGTGAGCATCGCGTTGCCAGTACATGCATCCTACATATTTGATATGCATATCAAATATACGTGCGCGTGTGTGTGTGCGTGTGCGTGCGTGAGCACTCAGTCATACAGCTCCCGTGCTGCCATTTAGCCCTGAGTCGTAGAGAAAACTCCCAATGTTTTAAATTTGGGGAATGGAAGAAAGAATCTGTTTATTTGGGGGTTTTGTTGGGGATTTATTTTTCCTTTTTTTTTTTTTTTTTTTTGACCTTTTATTTTGAATTTAAGATGTCTGTAACTCTGAGATTAAAAAACAAGTTTGTGGCTCTTAATGTTTTTCCTCATAGAATGTGATTGTTGAAGAACATGCACCGAAAGTTGCTTTCAACAGTACAACGCTTTGTTGAATCTTAATAAATTGCAATTTTTTTCTTGGCTGTTCAAATTAATGTGTTTTTTGTTTTTCAAAAACAGATACTATCAACTTTGATTTTGTATGCTGAAACTAGGAGTTGTCCTGTGTAGGACAAATTCTCTTTCTTTTTGATATCTTCAAGGTTTATATATAGTTAAACTCTGAATTTTGGTTGTTTGACGTATTTTATCATTTGCTTTCTGGCTTTGCTATTAATGGTTAAATCTTAATAATTATTGGGAAACAACAGTTTTCAAGCTCTCCACTACCAGCGGCCACCTGTCAGCCTGGTGCATCTGAGAAACAGTGCCGTCTGGAAGAACAGCAGGCTGATCCTGGGTCTGCTAGGGTGCACTGAGGACCAACCCTGTCACCAGGACCCAGTGTGGGCATCAGAAATTATCAGAGAAGGCCAGGCACGGTAATGCACACCTGTAACGCCAGCCTCAGCAATTTAGCAAAGACCTGTGTCAAAATAAAAATGGCTGGGGATGTGGCTCACGGGTAGGGCACCCCTGGGTGCAATCCCCAGCACCAAAAAATAACAATCACAGAAGCCAGGTGCAGTACTTTCACGCCCTTGGTCCCAGAGAAGAGTACAACAAAGGTCTTCTGTGTTTCCTGGACGTTTTATTCATCTGTTTTTAAACACTGCCTTAGCTTAACTTCTACCAAGCTTTTGTACCAGTATGGTGGGACTTGCCGTGCTGAGTAAAGCAGCAGCAGCCTTGCCACAGGATTCCAGGTGGCAGATTTGAAACCGTTTTCTCACTCCATCCTGGAACACTTGCAGCCTGAGCTTGATGTGTTGGTGCTTCTGTTTGATCAGTACCGAGAGTGTCTCTGGACAACACCCCAAGTGCCCGTCAAGACCCCTCAGGGACTGGAGGAATGACTCCCCTGGCTCTTGTGCATCAGTCCACCTCCTGTCAGCTGGCCCCCCGAGAGGGTGGCCAGCCACTGGCCCTGACCAGCCTCTTCTGAAAGTTGAGAAGGGCCTTAAGAGGGCCATACGCAGAGGAAGATGGAGTTCAGAAATGGGACCTACCAAGTGCACTTGGCATTCAACACTCCATCAATCAGGAGCTGCACCTTGGCACTATGTGCAGACATTCAGCAAGGGGTCGATTTATGCCAGTGTGCTGAGGGTGGGTGCACCTGCTTTTTCTCCCCCAGGAGAAGTCCAGGGCCTTCAAGTTGCCCAGCGGGAGCAGCACGCTGCAGGCACCATCGGATTTTAAGAGTCTGAGGAGGGTGAGGGGCAGGTTCAGAGCAGAGTGGGGACCCTGTGTGAAGGCCTCAGGGCTGGACAGGGGTTCCTGGTATCCAGGGGGGAAGAGGCCTGAGTTCTGGAGTCAAGGAAACTTGGGTTTGGAGCTATTCCTGCACCAGCGTGGAAGGTTGGTGGAGAGGGGTGCTCAACAGAGGCGGCGTGTCAGAGAAAGCTGGAGAAGAGGTACAAAGGGAGCCCAGAACATGGACGGAAGACAAGGTCAGAGGTGCCCAGCAGCTGGCCTGTGTTTGGTGGGAAGAGGAAAAACAGGGGCAGCAGGCATTTCAAGAAAATTCCTTGCAGGAAGAGAACCTTTGGCTGAACTGAGAGAAACACCCAACGCAGGATCAAAAGGGAACATGCACTCAGTTTCCAGCTTTGCACATCAGCTCTTCTCCACTGGCTTCCTGCTGACAAGCCACCGTATGAGGAATGTCCCCTGATGGAGTGCCGCACAGCTGGCCTCAGGGCCCAGAGCAAGGGTAGAATGACCTGGCGGTGCTTAAATGCCAGTGCTAGGCACATGTAAACCAACTCAGGGTCCCTGGGGTGGCAACCCCAGTCTTAAAATCCCCATCATTCCCCTGTGCAGCCAAGATGGAGAAGCAGAGACGGTCGCCTTGTCCTCAGTCTGCGTACTACGGCCGCTCCCCTGCACTGGCATCGCAGTTTGCAGTCTCCAAGTCTTGACTTGATTTCATTTGGCAGATATAGTGAGCTTTTTTCCTTCTTTATTTTTCTTCGTTTTTAAGTAAATTTAAGTGCAGGGGCTGAGGAGTAGCTCCCTGGGTTTGAACTGCAGCACTACCCAAAAACTCAAGGGTGCCAGGCACAGTGCTAAGCACTTACAGAAGCTGTGTCATTTGCTACAGTGGTCCCAAGAGATGAAGAACTGGAGTAAGAGAGGTCACAGAGCATGCCCAAGCCCATCCACCTAATCCAGAGGACCTTAAGGCCACATAGTGAGTCCAGAGAACAGAACCACTGGGAAGTAAAGAAGGAAGAGAAGTGACCCAAGCAGTCTTGGAGCTACCAAACCTCAAGTGCACAGGTGGGCAGCAAGCTGAAGACAGATAGGAGTGGGCACAGAATTCCTTCCTCTCCGGGAAACCTGAGTTTGGCTCTATAAGGCCTTCAATTGATTGGATGAGATCCACCCACATTATTCAAAGCTGTTAACCGCACCAGCAGCTTCCCTTACAGCAACCTCTGGATTCAAATCCAAAGAAGTCACTGGTGCTACAGACTGGCCTGACACAAGACTGGCAGGACACTAGGTAATTCTACAAACACCATGGTCAGCTTTTTGAGCATCTGTCAGAGTAGCTTGTCCTGGTCTCATGGAGTTGTAATGGCCTCAGTAAATCCAGACTGACGGCAGTGCTCAATCACACCAGCAGTGATCCCCATCCAACACAAGGGCTGTGATGGAGAGGTCAGCACCTCCTGGACGGGACCTGGGGACTCCAGGTCAGTTGCACACTTTCTGGACTCTCCACTCAGTT